CGTGCAATCATTAACCGAGTAATTAAAGACTATTCAACGAAGCAGAACGTAAACAATGGAGATAACTCCAACAGTTCCAAGAACTTCAGGAACGGTGCGAAGACATCAGACCCCTCTACTGCTAACCATGATGATTGGCTCGGCAGGAGGACCCAGCTGACCACATCAGTGGCCTAAGGGGTGAATTACAGTTCCCCCAATCAAGGTGGAAAAGCAATTACGGGCGTAAAGTCATCCAAGTGATCCCGTTGTGGGGGGTGGGTTTGTTTCTTCCATGGTGTTTTCGGGGAGATCGGAGGGGTTGACTTGGAACATGAAGGGTGGGTTCTGCCCGGAGATCGCAGGTTCGTCGTCGGGGGCCACATCTGTACGACAAAACAGGTGTAGAGAGTCAAGGCAGTCTTTCAGCTCTTCCACGGAGGTAAAAGTATAGGACTTGCTGTCGTAGAAAAATTGTATCTTGAATGGAAAGCCCCAGCGATAGCGAATTTTCTTAGCCTGCAGGACTTGTAGCAGGGGTCTAAATTCCCTCCGGCGTGCAATAGTGGCTGGCGAGAGATCTGTGTACACTTGGTATGTGTAACCCTGGAATTGTAGTGTCCCGGTTTCCCTAGCCGCTTGAAGCAAACGTTCTTTGGTGCGGTAGTAGTGTAGACGCACTATGATGTCCCTCGGTGGGCCGTCAGGCGTGCGTTTCGTTAGGGCCCTGTGTCTGATGTGAAAGTAGGGATCCTAATGTAAAGGGGGGCTCCTGATGTAAAGGGAGACTCTGATATAAAAGGGTGCTCCTGATTTGAAGGGGACTCTGACGTGAAGGTAAAAACCCCATATTTGTTTGTGCTTTTGCTGGGTGCCCCCCATCCCCCCCCTTAAAAGCCATACAAGCCATACCTCGAGATGTTGCAAACCTTTAAATTGTGCCATTACTGGTAAAAGGCCAAAAACATTGGCATAAGCTCTTAAGTCTGTTGGAAGGGATTTCCCTTTTTGCCAGAAGCTCATAGACCATCAGGCTTGAGGAGAGCGGCTACAAAGTCTGACATTGCTCTCAAAACCTCCAGAGCCCCCAGTATTAGGGTCCTTTGCATTCTTAATGCACTGCCACTTTCAAATTCACCATCCAAAATTGTAAAGCCCTAGCCATGCATGTGAGGCCCACCAGAAAGTAAAGATATGTTTGTGTACGTGTTCAAGAATGAGTACACATAAAAACTCTGTAAATTACTTGACTTATCTTGGTGCAGACTCCAGGTGCAGGCAGACATAAGAGAGGAACGCAATGAGAGGAAGCTGCAATCCTTACCTCCTCTCTGGTGCTGTCCCTGCAGCAATTCCTTTCTGCCACTAGATGTCCTCAGTTTTGAATAATGTGCAGGGTAACAACCCTATAGCCTAAACCTCTAAGACTGAGAACATCTTGTAAGTGCAGGGTGCCCCATTAGGTCACATTACCACATCGTTCAGCAATGAGGAATAGTCACTGCTGGAGAAGATTGAATAAGAAGGGAACCCTGGGTGTCACATGACTGGCATTGAGACATCTGTAAAAGCTAAGTATAATAACAGGCAAAATATACACATGGGGGAGCGGGAGTGAGCCCAAAACTGTGCAACACAAGAGGAGAGAGTAGAGTGAGCAGAGTAAATAATTTATAAGTCTGCTGCTCCTTTTTTGTCCAATCAATAGGCTAGGGTGAGTCCCTGACCCGACTATGCTGCAGCAGCAATCAGTGGAGGTAAAAGATCTGACTATACCGTCTGGCAGCTGTAACTATATTACAAAGCTATCTGCACAGAGTTAAGAATCGTTTAGCATATAAGATGGTCCATGTAACAGTGTGCTTAACTGGTTGCCTTGAGTCCTGCTTCAAAAGTTATATATTTTTTTTTCCTGAAACATATTCTGTGCTAAAATCTGAAGTAAATGTGTTCGATTTAGGAAAGATCAAAACATTTTGACATCACAATAACCTTATAGAAGAAGCTGGGCTTTTTCCAGAATAAAAAGTGTGATAAATAATGCGTTCTTTACTGTGACATTAGAAGAATGATCGTCTCAAACGAAATTGCTGACAGATAATTAATATACCTGTGGGGGACGGGAGGACAATGGCCGGTAATTGGTGCATTGTGTGCCTCTGTCTTTATCTAGAGTAATACCGGAAGTCTGACAGTTGCATGAGTCCTATTATAAATAGTGAATTTGAGCTGTGAAAGCTGCAGGCTATCCAGTTATTGGCTGAGTGAAGGATATCACAGAAAATTGCGTATAAAACGGTTGGAAAGCACCTTCTGGAGACAACAGAAATGGCATAAAATGATTGTTTAAAGTATAGAGGACGGCATGCTAAACAGAAAATAAATGAACAAAACAAGAAAAGTTAGGAAAGCAGAATTTTGAAATGTAAATAAGTCTTGAATATAATATGTGTGTGTGTGTGTGTGTGTGTGTGTTTAAGAGCCCAACTCTGCTCAAAAATAAAAATATAAAAATGTATTGGCAGTATCATATCTCTTTCCTTTGTACATTTTTGAAAAACAGATTTACAGCAATATCCTCTGTCATTGTTTCCTCCCACTTTCGTTCTTTATTTATTGGGGACCAGACACGTTTGCTCACACCAGTGGAGTTCTCACCGCTCTGGTACTGATGTAAACCTGTGTAGGTGGTATTATAACAATGGCCATATGCAGGGCTTGAAAAAAGTCACAGACGAGAGGACGGCGGAGCCCAACAAGTAGCTTCCCGGCCGGCCGTTGTAATTACACGCCGGCCTGGAACTTTACATTCAAGCGATCGGGCGGTCCCGAGATCCACCGTGCCCGATGTGGCCGGGACTGGCACGGCTGCTCTGTGACAGGAGATCAATGGAAGTTCAGTACACGATCTCCCTCTGATCTCCTCTCAGTCCCTGAATGCAGGAAGTGATGTATATTACATCACTTCCTGCATTCAGCTGTCACTCTCCAGCTTCAGAAGCTAATGAAGCAGATCTCTCCATAAAGAGGACCTGTCATGTAAATTGGCTATCACATAGGTGCTTCTTATTCCCTATGTGATAGCAATAAAGTTGTGTTAAAAAAGTAATACAAAAATTAAAGAAGCATAAAAAATAAAGCATTTTTATTTTTTTTAGTTGCCCGCCCCCCATATACATACGCAGATATGCGTCGGGTGCGCCTACATGCGAAAACGACTATTGTGCCGCACATGTTACATATCACCATGAACGTTGGAGTGTGAGCAATAATTTTAGGGCCATTAAATACTGATAACACTAAACTGATGAGCAATAAAAGCGTTTTTGCGTCGCCTATGGCCTGTGGTCATTTTTGTGCGATTTTGTGGGCGTGCACAATTTTAAGGCTTGACATGTTTGGTGTCTATTTACCCAACATGACCCCGTCTTTTATATTTTACCAAAAATATGGGTAAGAATAGATGTTTTATAACATAATGTAGGGAAACTTTTTTTAAAAAAATTTACAGTACTTTTTTCATTATATAGTAAAAAAATAACCCCCCCCCCCAGTGGTGATTAAATATCTTCAAAAGAAAGCGCTCTCTGTCCCCAAATAAATCTTAACATAAATTGCAAGGCTATAGTCCAGCCATGCTGACTGGTGAAATTTTTGACTGACTGGTGAGACACCCTAAACTTTTTCAAGCCATGGCCATATGTTAACCCTGCCTGTCCTTTTACCTGTTCCACCTACCACAATACTCCGCCAATGACTCCACCCTTGATTCCTCCTGAAGACAGGAAATATTTGCCAGGAGTCATGGAATGTAAAGTCCCTCATATGCAGCTGCAAAGACCCTCCTCCTGACATAGTATAGTAGTGAAAATGACGGCTCAAGAAAGACATTAGAGGTAGATCTATACTTAAAGCGACACTAAATCTTAAAAGTGCATTTAAGTACCTTAACTATTAACAAAAAAATATTGTATTTATGTATCACTCAGCTGCAAGTCCTCAAATCATCTCTGAATTGGTGCAGACACTGTCCTTTGTCTGGAGGGTGGCTACTTCCGTTTCCCATGGCCCCTGTGTGTGTTGTAATGATGCCACCACTCCAAGCTCGCTCCTGTGATGGACTACAATGTCCCAATTCGTTTTCTACCTTGTTTTGAAATTGTAGTCTTTCACAGTATGGGGATGCCTGTATAGCCTTCCACAATTCAGGGCTTGGTACCTGAGCGGTCAATCACCAACACAAGCATTGGCACATGGGGGTGGAGTGAAGACAAGGTAAAAGTTGGCGCCATATGGTGCCTAGAATGTAATGGCATCCTCTATTTGTTTGTTTTACTACTGGGTCATTTACATTCAGCAAAATTAATGGTTACTGCCATTGACTCTAGGCAATAGGTTTATTGTAAAAGCAGGTCTGCTATTTACATTTATGGTCAGGCACAACTGGGTTGAGTAAATCATTGATATCCTTTATCTGTCAGACATAAGAGACAACATTTCCTGCTTGAGATCCTGGCTTTCCCTCCCTGTTCTTTCCACAATCTCACTCATCCTGCTGTCTTCATTTTTTTAATAAAATAAACAAAAACATTAAGAGGGAGAATAAGACCTCCTCAGGCAGGCAGAGCTAAGAAGTCAGGAGAGAAAATCTTTCTCCTAGGACCTCTATGGGATAGAGCAATCTAGCGGGTGAATCTGTTTGTTGGCTTTTGGGTTGATTGACTTAAAGAGAACCTATTGCCAGTCTTGGAACCATCTTAAAATTGGTGCTTCTACTGCAATAGGAATTTAACTGCATGGATCTGCCTTGGGACCAATTTTTGGGAGCTGATCAGCAGCAGTCCCCAGCACTAGATGGGGAGCTCTATTGTTCCAAATGGCAGGTCTGTTTAAATCATGGAGTTACGTTAAAAAAACCCACTCATTTGCACTCTGTTATAAAGCGTGCATGTTTTATGTCATTAGTCTAGTAAAGAAAAAGCCATTTTAAACTCAACTTCTTGTATGTTCTTTTTTGGCAGTATGCAGGTAAATGGGAGTATAATTTTGAGGTAAGAGATGCTAGTAGAATTTCTACCTGATCAGAAAAAAAAGTAATAACCCTTTTGTTGTCCTGTAGATCAGTGCCGTAGAATGTGCACTCGTTTGTGTTTTTCCTTTGTACTGATCCTCTTAGACATGTTTGGTATTGGAGGACATGAACCAATGAGTAAACTTTGTAAATAATATGTGTGTACTTTGTTCTGCTATTAAGAGTCAGACTCAGTAAAACTGATGAAAAATAAGGAATACAAAAGACATGTTGTAGCCAGTCAGATTTCACTTTTCATTGTATAGGAACATTACGCATATATACAAATACTGATTAGTCTATATTAGTACTGTACATATGACATGGTTCTAATGCTGCTATTTTTAGAGCCTAATTGTAAAGCATTAGTTCTAAAGGACAGAAAAAAAAATTGGTTTCCACCTATAATGCCCATGGAATAATGCAGCATCTTGAGTTACTGATAGCATACCTCGTTTGGCAGATGCCCATGCGTAAGTGACATACTTCGTTTGCTGAACTGCTTTCTAAATTGCAGGGTCAGAACAGACCTCACTGTTATAAGTGATGATGAGTAGCACTGATCGCCTTGAGAAGACAAGTAGTCCAGTCAAATTGCGAAAACTACAAAATGCACATCTGCATGCTATTGGTAGCTTGAGGCACTGCTGCTCGGAGCTCTAAATGAGACTATCAATTATATATTAAATATTGGACCTACAGTAAGGATACTCTGCTCATTAACATCTATATATGGACCACTATCGTACTTATTCACTGGTCAAATGAATGATGATGCAATTATCAGCTGTGGAGTTTCCCGTGACCTGCCTTCACTTAACAACATTGCCCATAACCCAAATAGCATATTATATATATATATATATAAAGGACATTTCTGCTTTGGAACTTCTATTTTAGCTCTTCTGATTGAGGCTATTTACATTGAATGGAATTGATCAAAACTGGAGCAGACAAAATCTGGATCAGCTGTGCATGACAACCAATCAGCTTCTCTTTTTCATTTTCAAATCTTAACTGAACAAACTGAAGAGAGAAGCTTATTGGTCACCATGCAAAACTGCTCCAATTTTCTTCAGCTCCAGTTTTGATAAATTCCCCCTTTGTCTTTACTATGGATAATTTTGTCGGGATCTAATGTGATCAGCTGTCTGCTTTGGAATTTTGTTGACGTTAGGGTTGATCCCAGTCTTGAGCGTGGTAACTCTAATCCTTTATTGTATGTTCAACATGCAATATATTATTTACTATACTTTGTCACTGTGTTGGAAACACAGTGCATTCCATAATATGTCATGTTGACCCTTTACTACATTATATCACAATGTTATAATTCCAGCACTTTCATCATTCATAAATAATATTGCAGTTTGCAACATACCCCCACACCAGTCTAAGGTTGGCCATCACTTTTGTTACATAGGTTTTAATAGGTTGGACTTGATGGACTAATGTCTTTATTCAACCTCAAATACTATGTAACTATGTACATTAGTGACTAAATTGTGACCCACAAAATCCTCTCCTAGAATAAAGCTGTAAATGCGGCAGACAGCTGTAAATCACCATGTCCAGCTTCTATAGCAGAATCTACTTTTAGGTATAATGGATCCAAACCAGTGCAATCAGTCTGATGATAGGTCTTCAAGCGGGCTAATGTTAATGATTTTGTACTTTCAGAGTGTTCTTCATGAAGCATATTGTGCCAAGACCATAAACCATCGTAAAATAGGAAGTCTGTAGCACTTACTCTACAAACACTTAGCTGGAATTACATGTAATGTGTCACTGAACTCAGCAAATCAGGACGTTTGAAGGTTGTTTGCTAACATTAAAGGTGCCTAGGCCGTCTGCTATGGCTGGCCTGTAGAGTCTATTTCCGGAGATATATATGAAATCTAAAACACAGAAAAGAAAAAGTTATATACCTTAGAAAACAGTAAATAAATATTGTGAAAAAGGGAATCAAACTTTTTGGCTGATCCTTTTATATTTGGAATGGATGGCTATTGCATTATTCAGTTTTGTTTCTCTGTTCTAGGAAATGCTATGACCTACATTGTACACCTTTCATGCAGTGCCAAAATTTTAAATCAATTTTAGTAGCAAATCATTTGTTGCTAGTAAACATTTGATGATATATGTAGATTGACTGGAAAGAAGTCATTTCACAATGCCATGTGGTGAGGTCGCCAATCAGCAGAAGTGTGGTAAACTTTCTTTTGCCCTAATATATAGACAAGGACCTGGTGAACAAAGAGATCCTGGTTGTGCTTATCCTACAGCAACCAACCAGCTTTCAGCTTACTTAGTTGAAACCGGGTGTAAAAGGGAAAGATGAGTTTTGATTGGTGGTTATGAGCTGCTGGACTTAGCCTTGTTGAGTAACCCAGCATGTAGCAGTAAACAAATATTTAGTTGAATTCTACTCAGACATGTTTTTAGAGTGTTGTTGTTGGTTTATGACAGCTGGAAGTTATGCTGCTCCATTTATACTATAGTGCATCATCTATGTGTGAATCAAATCTGCAGAGTATGTCATCTTTGGTCTACATGTATGCCCTTATGCAAGCCAAGGATGCCTTTCATTACTCCAATACTGTAGCATACAATTCTATTTTTAGCATGTACAAGCATTTTAAGGTAACCTTTCTAAACTGTCAGCAAGCAGTTATGCCTGACTATAAGTCTCTGTGGTCGAGAGCTCAGGGCCACCATCTCCCACCTCCAGGCCTTTCCTATTGGTCAATTATGAAGAGTATCCTCACTGGCCAAAAATAAGGCATCAGAGGTGGGAGGTCTCTGGTTCTAAAGCTCCAGACCACATAGAGCATCTGGGTTTCAGAGTTCCTACGGAACTCTGCAAGGTATATGAATCTTCATGCAGGTACCTCTAGATGCCTGCCTTTCTTGTGATATAAGGCAACTTTCATTTTAGATAACATGGTAGCCTTATAGTAGATGGAAAGGCACAATGTAAGTATGTAAGGCTGCTTAGTCACAAGCTTCATTCATTAGTTTAAAGATTGCTCCACTTTTTTTGCTCTAGCTTTATGTGCCGTTAATGTCCCTTCTTCTGTGGTCAATGAGTGGAGACTTTCATAGGGACTGATGTAAAGGCAGTAAGTAAAACCAAAGTAAGGCAGGGAAGGTCTATGGGGCCGATCCAATCTAGGCACTCTGAGCTTGCTCCAGAATGACAGCGCTTGTGTTTAAAAAGAAAGGGTCCGACGTGCCCCATCATTATGCATGCGAAAAAAGAAAGGAAAGCTTCCAGGTTCCCACAGCGCTAAGGGTTTCTTCAGTTGACTGGCAGATATATAGCATTACCAGTCCAATGCTGGAAGTCAGTTGGTAAACAGGGATCTGGCAGGATCAACAGGTACATGCTATGTAAAAGCAAAGGACTGGAAACATGAGCATTATCTGCATTTGTATTTATTGTTGGGAACTTTTGTTTTCATTTGTGCCTTAAGAGACACTTTGAAGAGACCCTGTCACCAGACAATCAATGTAAAGCTTCCCATAAGAATATACAGTATGTGCAAATAAAGTGACATTAAAGTCACATCCCCCCCCCCCACCCCCCTCAGTGCTGCTTTAAGGACTGACCTTAAATGATGCCTCTTGATCTGATCATCTTCTTCTTTCCAGTAGTTGTCAGGAGTCCCTCCAGCGTAGGTGCCGGCCTCTGATCCAGCACAGACTCCTCAAAGTCCCATGGTGTCTGTCCACCTGCATTCTGCCTGCTGCGTGCATTGACTTACCCTGTGTCTCTCCTCTTCTCCCCACCGAAGATCTCTACTGCGCATGCGCCCGCCCCATGATCCTTCATGGCTGCTCGAGAATCTTCAGATCTTCGGACGGGAGCGAGCGTCGGAGACACAGGTAAGTAATTGCCTGTTTGGTAACTTTTTTTCTATTGTTTTTAATGTTTTTTGCATATATCTACTGCTTGCTTAATTGTACTTTAAGCATGTAGGCGGGGTTCACTCTTGGGGTGTTGCGTGTGTGTTCCCTTTGGGTTGGCTGGGTAACCCCGTGCATGCAACTCGAAACCAGACACCCCCACGGTCAGGGGCCACGGCCTTGGCCTCGTGCAAACACTCCCACACGTGTAGTACTGCGTACACAGGGCCTCATGGCTTCAACCGCCTCTGCGGTCTTCGGCGCTTCCGCCCACTTAGGGAGAAAGGCCACCATGAATGGCACCCCGTGTCAGGCATAGCCCCATTGCACACCTACCCTCCTCAGATGGTTACAGCCACGATACAGTCCAACATCACACTCCGGTAGAACCCCACCTTCAAAAAGGTTGGAGGGAGAAGAACCAGTCCACACAGATAGTCTTTTTGTTGGTTTTACTTGAAAGCATAAACAGAACAAAGCATACGATCAGCCACCCCCGGGTGGGATGACGGCACAATTCTTGTTACTTGCATGGTGATACAATTTAGAGAGAGAGGTACATCAGCCCAGGTGCAGCCCAGAGTCACGACTTACTTCGGCCATAGGCCCACTGGCAAATATCGTCAGTCTTCTAGCACTTCACTATTTTCCGGAATCCCATCCCTGTCAGTCCTAGCACGGTGGGTTTCCCCCTGTGGGGAAACTAGGGAATCTTTGTAGCTCTACATAGTCCTAGGCCTGGTCCTGTCCTTCCCATGGACCAGCCTATATTCAAGAAACAGTCTCTTTCCAGAGACTCTG